ATCTATCCCTTGGAATATAAATAAAAACATTTTTAAAGGTAATGTAATTTGGCATTAAAATTAGTTTGTAAAAAAATGTTTTTGTTATCTGAGGTACATATCTTACACAATGGGATGAGTATGTAAGAGTTGTGAACGGTGTGAAATCGGATTTATGTATTGTTTATCCTAGTTGAAGAAAAATAATTCACCACATTTGAGTTATCTTAAATATTAAATATTTTGAAAACAAATGATGCTTTTAATTGAAATGGATGAACTGAAACGGTCCACTTGGTTAAAAAGTCATTTCAATTTATTTAAAAAAATGTAAATTTAGGATTAAAATGGGGCAAAACTTCCTAACCTTGGGCCAACAAAGACATGTGTGAATCGAGCATGAAAAGAAAAAGGACCTTCTGGAGAAAGACGGTGAGACAAAAAAGGTATAAAACATACTAAATGAAAAGGGAGACAAAAGGCCAGTGAGGTGAAATAGAGGGACACCAAAAGGAGAGTTAAAACGGCTTAATTTCTATAGTGAACAGAAAGGTCACACACTGTTTTTCATCGGCGCCCCAAGAGACACTGACACACGCACACACTCACACACCTGTCCCAGAGGAAAAGATCGATACACACACTGATACCACCGTGAGGAGAGAATCCGCTCGATACATACACACACACACACACACACCACGGGCAGAGGTGCCGATCAATAAACACACACACGTACAGGTGTCACCCCTGCTATCTAAAGAGAGGCCAATCAATGCTCACACACTGATATACCTGTACCAATCAGCTGCTCAGATTCACTCTCTCGTCTGTCTCACCCTTTTTAATACACTCACCCCTCCTCGTTTCTCTCTCTGTCTCAACTCCCATCCTCCTGAATCTCTTACAACACCCCTCTCTAGTTGTCTCCCCCTCTCTGTATCTGTTCCTTACAGAGCACTTTCCTTCCATGTAGGTAAATCATGTTTATCTATTGCCCCATGGTCTCTTTTTGCTCCAGTACTACACATAAAGCTGGCAAAATTAAACCTGCTAACTACATTCAGAGCTAAATAATAAAAAACTTTATTCAGCAAGGATATTTAAAGTGAGAGCCTACACTTCCTGCAGCAGCCATAGGGTGGCGCTCTTGTCTTAACCGGCACAGCAGGGTCCTGAAAACACTAACAGGAGGAAAAACTGTTGTTTGATCAAATGCACACATTTATGCATAATCTTTACATGCATTGAGGCAGCCTGTGTGTGGACAGCAGCTCGCTCAACATGCTCTGACCTTCCTGCCTTTACCGACCGTTTCCATTCATCCACACTCTTTTCTTTCCCTTTCCCTGACTTCAATTTCTGTTTTTCCTACTCTTTCCTGGTCTACTTTCTGTTGTGGGCTGGTAATTGTAAAAGAGATAATTTGCCTTTCCATGCTACGTCAGAAATCTCTCAAACAAAACCACTATGGTGGAGTTCAAATACACTATGTGACAGAACTGACAATTACGGTAATATATTAATTCTTTAAATCCTTTCGTCAAGCAGAAATGCCAATTATTCGCTTGTTTCAGCCTCATGATTTGCCGCTTTTCTCAGTCTTATTTAGTTGTAAACTAAACACCTTTTGGCTTTGGCCTGCTTGCTAGACACACCCAATGTGGAGATGTCATCCTGGACGTTAGAACATTTCGATCATATAGGCAAAAATATGTATTGAAAGAAAAGAAGATTACTGACAGATACTTGATGGCTGCAGCCCTATTTGCTCTGTCAGTATTTTTGGTATTCCTGTTATTGATTGGTTGAATTTAGTCAACATGCCATCACCGTCATATATTCAATGCTGCTCTAATGCTGTCATAGGAACAGAAACCGTTTGAGCTATCCAACATACCGACAATTAATATCCTACTCGGCAACACTCACTCAGAGTAACAGAGCCATTCTCGCTACAGTCTCCATTTTGACAATCAACAACCAGTGGAAAATTCAAAGCAGAAGAGGCATGATGCAATGCACCCACCCGTCTTCATACCAAGTTCACATCTGTTCTTTTTGTTTTGTGGAGAGGGTTCTGGGAAATGAAGGAAGGCACTTACAAGATCAGTCGATGATGCTGGCTGGTAGTTAATACGTGCAACAAAACATACGAATAAACAATTAAATGGCAGAATACATTCAATAATCAAAGAGAACATTTTTTGGGGTAAATGATATTTGGCATGTATCGTACTGGCAAAGACAGAAGGCGGTAGGCTGATAGGGTATGACCCCTCACTGTAACGCTGTATGCAAAAGAAAGAAAAGTCAAACCAGGTTGTCTGCAGGCGTTTGTGTGGGTGAGTGAAAGAGAAAGAGAGACTGAGAAAGAGTTATCAAAGGTAACCTGTTCCCCCAAGCAAATTGTTCTGTGTAAATATTACTTCTGTGTAAAAATGTCTTCAAAACCATATGACACAGACAAGATGAAAATGTTGTGTGGATAGCTTTTTACCCCATTTACTTCTCTATATATATTTGTAGAAGTGTGAAGGTATTTGTGTGTCCATGTGTGTCAGTATCTTACTTTCTCAGTAAATACCCCAGGGCTTTGTGGTCTATACTGTGTGGTTTGGAGGAGTTTGTTAGTTGAGGGCCAGGTGCAGGCAGACAACACATACACTCACGGAAGATAAACGGACCCAGCACACACACACACAGATACACACACACACACGAAGGATAAATGGACCCAGTAGCAGGGAGGTCTGACAGAATGCCTTTTCACACCTGGCTGAGCCCAGCGGAAGGTGACAGAGTCACATCTCCCAAAGCAAACACACACACACACACCTCTTCTCACATTGGGGAGTTCAGGGTCATAAGCAGCATCATGAATAAAATGAGGCTGTCTTAAACAGAAGGAGCCCTGTGTGTGTGTTGGTTGTGTTTGTGTCTGTGCGAGCCCCTAACCCCCATGCCAGTTTGGATCTGTAACGACCTTCTGTTCCCAGTGCTTAAATGGCTTAAATACTTCAATTAGACCTGGGTCACAATCCTCCACCCGTTAAAGCACAGCATCACACGCAAACACACACACGAAAAACACACACAATAGTTGGCTGCATCATCTTGCCAGGTGACAAAAGATATTTTTCGGTGCTCCTTCATCAGCATCTTTGCCTGTTTCCCGTGGTTTAAACTCAAACTCTATAAAGAAAAATATCCCCCACCAACACATGAGCAAGTATTAAACTTAACTCCCATCTTCTCTACCAGCTTCTCCCCTGGAACTTCTCTCTCCCGTTCCCTCCTCCTTCCTGCGTCTCTCCCGCCGTGCTACCCTGCGCTAACGATGCTGCCTTTTCATTAGACAGCCCCTGCTAATTAATCTCCATAGAGGAGAGTGACAGACCTCCCCCAACACACACGCCAAGTGCACGCCAAGATATATGCAAACACACACTGTTCTTCCCTCTCTCGCACTCCCTCGTCCCGAGTGGCGTTGGCAGCCCATTTCATGCTTTATCACGTCTTTTAATTGACAAACAAGCTGCTCTTTTCTCTTAGGCTGAGGTCTATATCGCCCCCTCACTCAGATGCACACACACACACACACACACATACACGTACACACACACACACACAAATACATACATAAGGAGCCAATGAAACTAGTTATCGTTTCAGTTTTTGGATAAAGAACACACACACACACAAATAAGCAAATGCATCCCTGCTGACATATGGCCCTAGTGACTGTCACACAGTTTTCTACTCTTTGACACATGGTTTCTGCTCACCCACCCACACACACACACACACACCAGGTTGAAAATGAAGCCTAAATAAAGTAAAAGGTTCCCATCACTCAGGGCACTTCCTTAATCTTCAGAGATTTTTACCGCCATGGTTCACTCCTCTGCTACAGGGCGAGTTCAATACCATTCACAACTGACTTATTGATTCTGAGTGATCTTGTGACACCTTTCCCTCATGCTTATGGAAAATACTTTTTTTCTGGTGGCTGTCCACATCCACATGCTAAATTAAAATGATCTGGTTCTGGTCACATTCCTCAAATCACTATCACTGTTCGGTGGATTTTAATAGTAGACGTTTAAGACACTGAAGAAAGCACATTGAGAGAGTAATGCGATGGTCATCACCCGAGACTCTGGTGTTATAAGAGCTTTGTTTGATAAATGCAGCTTACACCTACTAATGCACTACCACACTACTTCAATTTTTTCCTTTAAGTTGACCAAAAACTGTAAATGAAAACACAGAGTGAATAATGTGTGGTCCTTGAAGAGTTTAGAAATGAATATTGGTTATAGCATATCACTACAGTAAGATTTAAAATATTTCTATTCTGATGAAGAAAGGTTCTGCTTGAAAAAGATTCAAGAAGTGTCCCCGGCTGTGAGGGGCAGGGCGGGTGTGCTGCTGGCTTAGTCATCCCCTCCACCTCCACCACCCTGTTCTTTTACATTTCTCTGCTTTTAATTGGGACTCTGAGCAGAACTCCACGGGGATTTAGCAGAATTGGACACAGATAGGGTGCAAACTGCTGGTACAATCTAAAGGAGTTAACGTTACCATTGTAATAGGGTTAATGTTATGAAATGTAAAAAAGCATGTGCATCATTTGCATGTATCTATTATGGGACTTTAAGGTAAAAGCTGAAGGAACTGTGTAACACAAGATTTGTAACACCTCCCTTTTCAGACCCTTTGCCCTTCTAAATACACACCTTTGAGTACAACAGGAATGTACTATTATGTTCTTCCTGTTTAAAAAAACTCCCAATCAACTTCAGGTGTCTAGTCAGTGGTCCTCGATCCATCTACAAAAGGCCCTTTGTCCACCTGCCTTGTTCTCTCTGACAGCGAAGAAAAGCAGCACTAAGACCTCACTTTGTTTTATCATTGTGCTTCATAAAACATCAAGAGATGTGGAAGGGATCAGATCAGATTTAAAAACACCAGTGTGGAGTTTGCTGACAGCGTTGGTTTTGTGGTCAAATACTCACTGTGATGTGATACTGTCTCCAGATCTCTGGACAAGCCTGAGGAGAGAAAACAAAAAACACACTTAATATGGTCTTTAATATACAGACTGATATACGCACATTTGTGAAGCACATAAAAAGGAATAAATCCGATTTAAAAAAGGGAGGGAATGAAAATGTCATAAAAACCAAACTGCATGTATTTGTATCAAATATTTATGAGACACACACAGATATAGATAGGATCGGATATTAAGGGCAGAATAAGACAAATATTACAGAGACGCTGATTGACAAAGAAAGGACAGAGGCAGGGCCTTAAGAAATACTGTAGAGCAGGCCATGGTGTCATTTGTTTGGCTCCTCAGGTCTCTTCTTCTGTCTTTCACTAAAGCTTTATCTCCCTGATTTCTCAGCCTGTTTCCCTCCATGTGTCTCTCTTCAGTCAGTCAAACAGTCAGTAAGTAAGGCAGTCAGTTGTTTTGTCCCTGTGTGGCTAAAGCATTATCTCCGGGGCTTCGCCACGCTGTTCCTTAAGCGTTCCGACATCCTTTCCCAACCGCCGCCACTTCCCACTGGGAAATTGAAAATGCCGCAGTCGCCGCAGGCAACAAGATTTATCTACTTACACACCTACTGAGTGAGAGAGACAGAGAGCGGGTGAGAGAAGGAAAGGAAGATTTAAGCCAGTGCTGTGAGGAATGTTTAGTTTTTGTGCTTGCATAAACTAAACAAGTTCTTACACAAATTTGCATGATGTGCAAATTCTTGTCACAATAAAAAGTGACTATTTGGCTGAAAGTGTTTGTTCAAATCCTGATCTTTAAGCCTGTAAAGAACGCCGTGCATTTCTGGCTTAATCTGAGCGGTTTAGATTTGAATACAGAGATGGACAAATATGAATTTCGATGGCTGTATCCTTCTCCACCTCTCATCTAGCTTTCTTTTCTTCAACAACCCCCCCACCACACCAGCTCCCTCCCGTTTGCTCGCTCCCTCCAGACCGCTGGGGTAGTGTGTTGTTGTCGAGGGCGACAGGCGAGGCGAGCGACACACTCGCGCTCCGTCAACCGTCTGTCTTTAATGAGAGACACAGAAAGGCCCAGGGGACGGAGACCTGACTCTCTTTCTCTCTCAAACACACACACACACACACACACTAACACATACAGTGTAATTTGTGAGTGTAAGAAAAAAAGTTATGCGTTCCAAGAAAAGGGTAATTACAATGCCAGACAACTTTGCACTTCTGTTTACTGTTGAAAACAATATGCAAAAGAGAGAGGAAGAACAAGATGAAGATGAGGATCCATAGGAAGAGGGGAGAAAGAAGGGAAGAGAGTGAGGGCGAGAAAGAGAGAAAAATGGGCGGTGTGTGTCCTGGTCTCCCCTCTCCCTCTCGTGTTCACCTGGTTACTCACCCATTACACAGAGCACAGAACATGACTGACTGGCGGAGAAGAGAGAGAGGGTGAGGTGGGGGAGACACAGGCAAGCTCTTACATGCACACAGGGTTCACCATTCTACGGCATTAGTGTAAATGGGCAAGGTAATGAACGTTGCGGTGGGATAATTGTCATTGATGGTCATTAGATTCACCCTTGAATGCCAACACAAGCACATGCCCACATCTGGAATATGCAGCATGGCAGAGACATAACTAAGCTGTAATTGCTGAAGTGTATCAATTAATGTGAACAGCAGCGTGTGCTGACCCCTGGTCACTCATTATTACTGAGAGAAAGTGTGGGGGAGAGGGAGGGAAAAAAAGAGGAGGAAAAAATAGGGGGAAATGGGGGGGGGGGGAAAGGTGGTAATGGAGAGGGTATAAGTATACTTTTGCCATTAAGTGGTTGGTGTTTCAACTTGTTCTCATACAGCAACACGACAAGCCAAAGCCTACTGCACACACACGTCATCTGAGGCCATTTGACCTCATACTGTGGCATCAAGTTGATTCAATCTCCCGAAATACATCAAGTAATACTCCAACCCCCAAATTATTATTTGCATTTAAGTAACTGACCCTGCCAGCCCTTGAAAAATGAGAAAAAAACTGAAAATGCATGCGGTTTATGCAGAAGTGTTTTAGAAAGTACGGTTTGCATAGAGTTTGTAAACAGATGTTTTTATATAGTTTTGCTGTTACTACAATTCTTTTAAAACGTTTTTCATTTTCAGATTCTATCTTTCACAAGAATTTCTTCACAAATTCAAGTAACACAGGGTAAGTAATGGATATACAAATGGTCATTAAGATCAATGCATTCCTTTAATTCCCTTTCTTTTTTTATAATGAAACGTATGTCCTCATTGTCTATTTGATTTTGTATATATTTTTGTTTAAATCCAATGACATTGTGTTGAATAACCTTGTATAAAATAGAACATATGGCCAACTTTGTTGCCACATTTTGGAAAGGACCTTTCTTGTCTCAATATCACAATGCTCATATGCACAAACCAAGATCCATTCAAATGCTTTATGGGAACTTTACTGTGACTGGCCGCTACAACAAATGGGACCAAATCCCTTCAGCTAGGTTTACAAAGTTGAGGCTGTTACAGCAGCAGATTAATGGCCATGGGTTATGGAATGAGATTTTCAACAATAACATACAGTATGTTTCCATATCATTTCAACCATTTGCTGTGTTTGCCCTAATGCATTTGAGTTTTACTTTATTCCTCCATGCCTGTATTGGACTCAAATGTGCAGAGCTTTATTTTCTTATTTTAATTCCAACCTAATCAAATAAAATGCTATACTCACATTTGTTGAGTGGCCTGTCATGAAGCAGCGCTCGCAGTGCTGGTGCCAGTGCGCTCTGTCTCTGCAGGAGTTGTAGAGGTGCCCGGGCAGGCCGCAGTTGTTGCAGTGCTTGTTGGGACATTCACTGGACAGGTGGCCTGGGGTTCCACAAAGAAAGCAGGGCACCAACTTCTGCTCACACACGCACATAAAAAACACACATAACACAGTTAGTAGTTTTACATATTGGTACTCATCAGAGTGTATAAGCTGTACACGCTACGGTGCACTGAGTTGAACTGACTTTGGACTCTGGGCAGTTCTTGGAGAGATGTCCGATCTTGTTGCAGTTTCTACACTGGACGCTCTTGTCGGTGTAGTATCGGTTTGACAGCCGCGGCCCCGTTACTCTCGCACCCTTGTCTCTGTTATAGATCCCAGCCTGAAACATACACAGTTGATACTCTCATTATTTATTTAAAAATGTGTATAGAAAAATCATGAACATCTTAGAATAGAACTCATTTTGACTGACAATATATAATACATACTGTTATACTTATTATTTTTTAGAAATCACACATTACTTCTTACATATTACTTTGGCTTATATCCAAAAAACGGACAGTCCTAATTATCCAAACAATTGAACTGTACACTATTCTAAAAATAAGTTTTGGCTCAACACATCTGCCTTTTATTCAGAAAAGGTTTGCAGAAAATGGCTGCCATTTAGACCACCAGTCCAACTACTTTATAAAAAGCCATCGAACGAAAAGTGGCTAAATGTCAAAATATACAAATCACTGTAAAAATACTGATGTCCTCTTACGTCCTTATCCTTTGACGAAACCAACCAGCTGGCCTTCTCTTCAGCATCTGGTAGAACAGAAAAAAATATTTACAACAAGGTCACTTTCAATTTTAACTGTATACACGTTTGGTGTTTTTATGTTTGACAAAAGGCATCTCATGAAAACCACTCATCATAAACATACAACAATCAATGTAATCAATGGGAAGATTTTTGAAATGATAAAAGGTAAGGATCAAGAGGCCTTCCTTAAATTTGAATTCAAAAGAACCAATGATTAAACATTTGTTAAAAATATTGGTTATCGGTGGCATAAATATTTTTTTTTACTCAATACAACAAGATTTAGAGCCATAGCTGACAAATTCTAGAACATATCCAACCCTATTAAGAACTCTAAACCCTGAGGAGTAAGTTCAGTTTCCTGTAAGAGAAGGACACACACACGCACAGAAACTGACACAGTGGCAGCCCAGCACATCTGTATGAGAGTGGCACTAACAGCGCCCTGAGGGACGCCCCTGTACTCTCCTCAGGCCCAGAGAACTGTAACTGACATCCAGACATTGTAACGTACACACAAACACACACACAGAAACACACAGACACATGTACTCAGCATAAATTATGTGCTGATAGCAATGACCCACACAGACTCGCATGCTTTCACAAACACATACAGACACAGACACACCCACCCATCGACCCCCACGATTAGCTGGTTGACAGTCTTTAGCCTTTGGACAAACATACAGCCTTGAGCCATAATCAAATATTACAGTCTCCTTTCCACCTCTCTCTCTTTCTCTCTTTTTCAGAGTCTCTCTATCCGCCACCTTATCGCAATTCAGCTTAGCCCTCCTTACTTTGCTTTCTCTCTCTCTCCTCCTCTCCTTGTTTTCTACCCAACTCCTCCCCGGGTGTGAGGGAGGTTATCACCTTTCTTCCCCCGTCAAACAAATTAAAATGGCTGCTGTTTGGATGGGGCTTCTTTCTGCCACGACCTTGATCCTCAAAAAACAAACACACAGCACCCTTGCAAGCAACTCAACGCTGTACAGTTTAGAGCAAAAACGTGTGACCCTAATTTGGATGATTCTAAAAATGAATCAATTGAACGTCATTTGCGCTCTGGGCTGATTCATTTGGGCAGATTGAAACCGTTATATATTTTTTAAATACACCTACCAGTGACCATAGACCGTGTACAAGCCACCATAATGCATATACTTTTCTCAAAAGATGCTCTTAAAATGTCCCCTATACATAATTTAAGCATCTCCAAGGAAGAAAAATCTGGATCAAAAGTGAAAAAACAGTCGAAGTTGTTCAAATTAAACGGAATTAGTTAGTACCTAGTAACTGTTTATTTATAATTCACTTTAAGGTCTGGTCAAAAAATGTAAAATAATAAAAAATGTCCACTACAATTTTACAAAGCCCACGGTGATGTATTTAAATGCTAAATATATTTTATAAAACAAAGAAAAGCATCAAATCCACACATGAGCGAAACTGGAACAAGCCATTTTTGGCATTATCCTTGAAAGATAATTTAAATTACTATGAAATTGACTGCATGTTGTCAGCTAAGGATCAGTGTACCACAGTTTTCCATCTACCTACCTTAACTACCATGAACAGACTGGGGGGCCTCTGTGTGTGTGTGTGTGTGTGTGTGTGTGTGTGTGTGTGTGTGTGTGTGTGTGTGTGCGTGTGTGTGTGTGTGTGTGTGTGTGTGTGTGTGTGCGTGTGTGTGTCTGAAAGCGTTCATGCACGTGTAGTAAGTGTTACACAACAACTAGCATCCAGTCAATGGGCAGCTTGTTGAAAAAAGGCAGGGGTGAAGGTGTGTATGTGTGAGTAGAAGTTCATCTAAGAATGATTGTGTGCGAGAGAGTATGTGTGTGTGTGTGTGTGTGTGTGTGTGTGTGTGTGTGTGTGTGTGTGTGTGTGTGTGTGTGTGTGTGTGTGTGTGTGTGTGTGTGTGTGAGTAGGCGTTAGTGACTCAACGAAAGTCATTCCCAAAGCGTCTCCCAGGGGGACTTCCCAAATAAAGAGCAGGAAGCTTTCCCTTAATCTAAGGGCCCCCCATCTCACCAACACACACACGGATAAAGGTTGAAGCTCTTTGTCACGGCCGAGGAATCAAACACATGGGTGGGGAAGAGGAGAGGGTGGGTGGGGGTCTGTTGTCTGTACACTTGGTGAAAATATGCTAATCAGCCTTGAGGCCTCGCTCAAAACCAAACGAGAGCTGCTTGCTTCATCTTGGCCAAACTGATCTGAAGGAGTCAGGAGCTGAATAAGCAGATGGCAGCGCCTTTTCCAAACAGCTGAACGGACGCGGGAGAGAGGCCTCAGCCATGTCCACTGTAGCAATTTCAACTGACCAATAAATCCTAAAAAGGAAATGTATGCGATGCGTCGGGAATAGGTATCTGAGGAAAACCAGGATCCAGAGTCTTGAAAGATCTCCACATGTATTCAAACAATCAGCAGAAAATGAAATTGAGAAAACGTTCCTTAGCATGTCAATTTACACACAAGTTTTTATTCTCCGGGACAAGTTGTACATTATCACATCAATCCGTCATCGAGGGAAATTCGACACAATGGCATGGAAGAGGGGGAGACGGAGAAACAGAGGGAGGGAAGGATCAGGGGAAAGAAGGCGACAGATGCTACCTGTCTGTCTCATAGGTACCCTGATTACTAGAAGATGAGGAGGAGAGGGGAGGAGGCTGCGTGCCAGTTCATCAGAGCCGGCAGAACAGAACAAAACAGAGTGTGTGTGTGTGTGTGTGTGTGTGTGTGTGTGTGTGTGTGTGTGTGTGTGTGTGTGTGTGTGTGTGTGTGTGTGTGTGTGTGTGTGTGTGATTTGAATCCGTCCCTTCTACCAGTGAGAACAGACTACAAGTGTACGTGGGGCTAATGAACCATGAACACCCAGCTCTCCTGGGGTGACACACACACACAGAATAAAGGGGACCACAAGCAGCATAATTCTGCCAGGCTGTCCAGGCACGATGGTTGAAATGTGATAACCCAGGGATGAGACTGGGAAATACACACACATTTTGTAACGGGGTCTCTCCTGACAACCACCCATAACTGTGACCATGTTTCCTGTGGTTGTGTATGTGTATGTGTGAGTGTGAGTGTGAGTGTGAGTGTGAGTGTGAGTGTGAGTGTGAGTGTGAGTGTGAGTGTGTGTGTGTGTGTGTGTGTGTGTGTGTGTGTCTACAAGCCATTTACTCCTCTGTCCCAGTAACATCAAAGTCAGGCTTGCCTTGCCCCAAACCCTCTTTCCCTGTCCCGACACTTAAACAGGCATCCCAAACCAGTCTGCCCATTGTACCACGCTGTTGACCAGGCCCATTAACACCAACCAGTGCACGCACGCACACACACACACACACACCTCCACAAAATAGTAGTGAAAGAAAGGGCCTTGCCCCCTCAAATGGAGGTTATGTTTGATACTGAAGCGACAGGGTCGGATTAGCAACACTATACATGACAATGGTGAGGGGTGGGCGGGAGTGTGCAGGCTGTGTATGTGTGTGTGTCGGTGTGTGCGCACAAAAAAAGTGCTTCCTTTGTGACATCACCCTTGCCCTGCAGCCCTCTGCGAGGTTAAACATACCAAAAGGTTGGCCAAGTCAGACGCACACACAGACACACGCACACAAACCCGTAGCTTTTCTACGCCTCTTTTGTGTGACAGAAAAGTCTGGCCGAGGGTGTAAAACACAATAGCAAAGAGAGCAGGAGAACAAGTCAGATGAACAAGAACAGTGAGAGGAAGAGAGGGGGGAGGGAGAGGAGGGTGAGGATGCATTGGTATGGGCCATGGAGCACATTACAACACAACAAAAGAGGAGCTGTCTGAATATCAAGCCCACCGGACAGCAAAGAGCATTCAGGTAGAGGAGTGTTTGAGGGAAAAAGGAGGACAGTGGAGGACTGGGGCAAATTAGGTAGTGAAGATGAAATGAGATGCAGAACAAGAAGGAGATAGAGACTGTGTGCAGATATTTGCCATGCTGCGAATAGATCAATAGCTGAATAGACCTATTATAGATGAAAGCTGCAGATTTCATTCGACTTAAATACATGCTGTTTCTTTGCCCATCTCCACCTTTACCTCTGTTAGAGAGATATAGGTGAGAGAGTCAAATTAAAAGCATTCTCAAACTGTGGCAAACATTCCTTTATTTACTTCAGCTATAACCGTATTTACTTAACGGGTAGCAAGGTTGTCAACTAGGGTTGGGAACCGAAACTCGGTTCCAGATGAGAACCGATAAGAAAATGCCGGGTACCGGGTACCCATACAAAATACACAATTTCGGTTCTGCTTAACGGTTCCTAAATGCTGTAGACCCTGTATTCCACCGGGTCCGTCTGCGCCGCGGTGACCCGGTGGAATACAGGGTAAGGGCGGACTGGCCATCTGTGTGTTCTGGAGAATCACAGAACGGCCGGTCGTCAGCGGGTCATCAGCGGGTCGTCAGCGGGTCGTCAGCGGGTTGACGGCCGGCACCGCCCTTGATTTTTTTTAAACGGCATCATGTAAGTTGCGGCGACAGAGGTCCACAGTTGCCCCGCAGCGAGGCTCCCCCCGTCCTCCCGTAGACCGTTCACGAGCTCAGTCACTTCATAACACCAAAGATGGATCGCGGTAAACGCTCTAAAGTGAGGCTCCACTACACTAAAAAAGAAAAAGACAAGGCACAGTGTAATGCCTGTTAATAGCTTGCCACAGGCATAGCTCAGTTCAAATAAAGCACAGCTATTGTGCAATACATTTGTATTGCATGTATATTTTTTATTTGTAAAAATGTCTGTTAAAGCTTAAAAGAATAAAAATATTTTTGTTATCTAAACGTTTGACCTCTTTCTTTTACAATTTTGTAATCGAAACGGGGAATCGATAAGAACCGGAATCGATAAGCAGAATCGGAATCGATACATTTCAAACGATACCCATCCCTATTGTCAACTAATCAAAAGATGGGTGGTTTGATCAGTCTATGTGTTGAAGTGTCCTTGGGCAAGA